GGTCAGTCCGATCGGACGAGTCAAGCGTTCTCTCTCTCTCTCTCTTTCTGCCGGTTCCTCGCATCATCACCGGTGCGTATGCGTCGTGGAAGTCGGTCCCAAGCGAAACGCGGCGCGACGCACGATCGCAACGCGGTCCGAGCACGCGACGAAACGAGAGCGACGGCTCGAGCCCGTCGTTTGTATTTGCCCCGTGCAAGCACGCCGTATCGGGAACGGAATCCACCACGTGCAGCAGCTGGATGCCACTTGCCGGTTTCGACGGAAACCGTCCCCGTACCCGAGACGGCAGCCGAAACTTCGATTCGGTAGATGCGATGCCGTATCTTTCGAAAGCAGCGTGCAGTTTTTTCCCGCCCGATAACGGGTCGTATCGGACCCGGCACGCTCCATCGAAGTATCGACGGGGCCTCGGACCGAGTTCGTCGAGCCGCTTTGCATCTTACGGCATGCCGTCGGCGTGAATTTATTTCCGGACGACGTGCAGCATCCTGCTGCCGTAGAGCGTATCTCTCGACGCATCGAGGGATTCACGGTCCAGCGGCTGGACTGTGATCCCGCAATCTGGACGTGCCGGATGGCATTTTGGAGTAGAGCGTGCATCAGCAGCATCCAGCATCCAGCATGCCGTGCGAGTACGAACTCGGCCTCGCTCATCGCAGGCGAAACGTGTGGGAAACGAAAGATCGACTCCTCCTCTTCCGGGCTCAGTGTCTCAGCTGTCATCTCAACTTCACGTTGTCTCTAGTATTTTTTTTTTTTGTTTGCGACCGATCGACAGGCAACGAAGTTCGAAGAAAGGAAATGCGTGTCGACGAAGAGTCAAAGAGTCGAGAAGAGTATTCACACTTTTCCTCGCGTTTCAAAAAAAAAAAAAAAGCAGACTGCCGTCGAATCTTATTTCCTCCTTCGTCGAGGCGACTGCGGTCGCGAGAAACATTTCCGAACGCACCACGGAATATCGTGCAGTCGATATCGGAACCCCGCGATACTTTGCTTGCGGGTCCCCGCCGCTTCGCACGGCCCGATGCGTGATGCATCGACGTCGTATGGGTGGAGTGCCTGGATCATTATGGCATTTTCTCTCTTCGTTTGCTTCCAGAGACGTCGGATCCCCTTCGGACGTCACGAGGGAGGAACTCCGCGGAACTCCACCCATGCCGCCGCGTTCATGTATAAAGTAGCGGGCAGTCGAAAGAGGAAAGTATTCTCGAGGCTCGCATATCGATTCCGTCCTTCTTTCTTTCTTTCTTTCTTTCCGTCTTGCATTCTTGCGAGTATCACTCGATCGTGTGCTCGATTAGAGGAGCCGATCGCTCGTCGATCGCCGCGTGCTTTTCGCGTTTGCGTGCAGAGATCCGGAACGCTCGCGATCGCTCGACGGTACGAGACCGGTCCTTTGCGACGATCGGAGAGCGTTTTAATCGTCGGAGAGAATTTTGGCGCGGAATCCTCTCTTCGCGATCGCAGAGTCGTTCGAGAAGTCCCGGACGGTGCCGTTCGTCGTTCCAGGCGATAAGAGAGCCGGGAGAACTCGATGTCGTCGGAACCGACGGTGCACGGCCTCACGCCGGAGGCCTTGATGCTGCCGAAGAAAAACGCGACGAAGGCGGAATTCCCTCCGGCCCCCTCCTACGGCAAACTGAGCGAGAGCCTCCGCCTCCTGACCCCTCCCGAGGTCCAGTGTGCCGTCTTCTGCGGCGGCAAGAAGTGCAAGTACGAGAACCCCACCAAGTGGTCTCCGAAGGAGATGGCCTTTCCCGACCTCTACTCTCATTGGTACGTTCCTCGTCGATCCCGAGATCGATCGAACGTTCGGTGCAACGTACGTTAACGAAGGGGAGAACGCTCGAACGGTGCATACAAATTAACGGTTCGTCGCGTTTTTGATTTCGCGTTCGATTCGTACCACCCACGTACGGGTCGACGATCGACTCCAAGGGTCGAATGTCCGTGGGTCGCATCTTCCGAATGTCCACGGGATCGTCGTGGGCGATGCCGAAGGCGGTTCTCTGTAGCTAAGAACTCGGGCGTGCAAAACCTTCGTCTCGGAAGTTCGTGGATCGCTTTTTCCCCCCCTAGATCTCGCACGAGTGGAAGAAACAGGCCGTAAGCTGAGAATCCTAACGGAAAGGTCGTATCCGTGTCCTCGCGAAAGCATCGAGGAACAGAACCTAATCCTCACGACCGGAGCAGAGAGGACGAGCGAAAGATTCCTTCCGGGTTTCCCGTCCATCTATCTGATGGGGAAAAGTCCCAGTCTCGGCCAAGTGTTCCCAAGTGCAAGGCTCCAAGTGCAAGGCTTGCATCCGCATTCGATGATGTACTTTTTTCGGATGCCCGATCGACCGGATTGCACGAGAGATCCCGGTTCCACGTGGTGTCAGAGTCAGAAAATGTTAACCTCAGCCGGGGAAAAATAATCGAAACGCTAAAGACGGCGTTCAAATTTTCCCGGCTCGTAAGGAATGAACGACTGTGAAAAACGTCGGCTTCCAGGAACACCCGAGAGCACATTAGAGAATGCCTTAGAACACGTGACGCATGCAAAAAAAGCATGGGGATCGGGGCATCGCGTTTTTCCAAGTCCTCCTTGCGTCGGGATACGCGAAAGACCTCGACTCTCATGTTTTCAAAATCCTTTATAGGAGAAACTCGCGTCGTCGTGACGGAAATTCTCATCCAGAGCGTTCGTTCTTTGCTTACCAGATCCGATTCCAGAAGATCGCAACGAAAGTCGAGTGTCAAAATGAGGACGATGCCCTTGCGTACCGGCAGTTCGACTCCGGGAGATTCCTTTAACCCAACACGGATTGCGTATCAAGATTCATGAAATTGTCGCTGTGTCGAGACTTCCAGTCACTTTTTTTCTCTGCACATCTCCTCCTGGAAGAATCCAACCGACCCTTCTAGTAAATCTTTTTTTTTTTTTAGCAGGCCATAATAGAAGCAATAAGACTATTACTTCTCGTCGGTCCGTCATCGATCGTTCCCTTGCAGATTCCCATCGACAACGTCAAGGCAAGCTCCCGACAAACACTCGTTGTTTGCTCCTGCTTAGCGAACCCCCTCCTCGTTATCCTCATCGCGACGAGTGCCGCAAACGACCGAAAGAGTCCCCGACCGGTTCGGTCGATCGCCGTCGATCGCTCTCGGCACGTTACGTCGTCGTTTTCCTTTCCCTTGGCGGCGAGTGAAAAGCGTCGCGGAACACGAGGGACTCGTCGAGTATGCGAGAGTCATGTTATTGCGGCACGCATGCCACTTGCGAGAAAAATTGAAGGAGGGAAAGGATGGGAAGGAGGCGTCGAGGCCTATTTCTCGCATATTTATGTGTCGCCTAGGTGACGGCTGGCGTTGTGGCAGAGGGGGGTCCCTCCCCGAATCATTCACCTGACACTTCCTCCTCTTTTTCTTTTTTCTACATAATTGCAAGGGAAGGTACTTATCGATACGGTATGAAAAGAATGGAGTTATGGTGAAAGAAAAATTAATTGAAGGCGAAGGAACAATTCATGGCTTTAACATTCGGATGCATCTATCGATTTATTTAATAGTTCTCTCGACCCGTCGGCTATTTATAGGTCGGATATTTTATTTAATATTCCTCAGAGCGCCCGTATGTTTTTTCTCGTAAATATTTTAGAGTGCTCCTTCGCATGGAGGATATATTTTAAGCGGCGGCAAAGGATTTTTTGAAATTCATCAGCGAAAGGCAGCTTCGGTAGCATATTTTCTGGATGGAAAGGCAATTGCTAATCTCACAATTTTTTTATTATTCCTGAAAGCGGAATCTGGCAGATCTGGTTTGCTAAATCACGTGCTTGCCAGATTTCAACTACTTTCCTGTCCCTCTGCCTTTCGCGTTAGAATCTCGCGGTTCTCTTTCGAGCATTCGACTCATAATAGTGACGTAGCTTCTATCAAGGATGACGCAAGTATGACGCAATAAAGTTTCGTTTCGCGTTCGACTCGAAGAATGACTTTCCATTGAGACCGACTCGATGGATTCCTCAAATGTCACTTCCCCATGAAGACATGCGAGAAGGAGCAGGATTTTGCGATATCGTTGCGTTGCAGGAACAAAAGTTCTGTCACTAAATGTGCGAAATAGAGGAGATGCAAGCTGCTTCGTTTTATCCCCGTTGACAGATGGACAGAAAAATTTGACTTTCCCATTCTGTCGGGGAAAAAAAGGGAATAACATTCTCTTGAGCTTCAGAGATTGCTTAGACTTGCTGTTCCCCAGGAGAGGCGTTATCTCTACCAATTGGTATAAAAACCCATAAGAAGAAAGCTTCGTGTGCCCTAATGCAGATCTGGTTTCATGAGGGTCATCTGTCATTGGGATCACATATTTACTGTCAGATGCATTTAATATTGTATGTTTAACTCCGCCCTTTTCAATAATACTTTTGCACGCAGACTTTTAAAGTGGAACACTTCCTGTTCCAATTCACTCGACCGCTGACGCTTGGAAACATACCACAGACGCTATAAATTCCATCTAGGGATGCTAAGATCAAGAAGTTTTGCCGACACATCAAACTCATTTAGTGTCATGGGTTTTTGCCACTTTTAATGTTACCGACGTTAGGGTGAGGTTGCTAATTCGTGGCATTACCATTGCAGTCGGCAATTTTCAAACTGACCGATCAGTAAGCGACTCTTAAGCGATTTAGTGTATTGTGTCTTATGTTCTGGTCATTCGAACACGTGATCGTGCGGGAAAAGAGCTTCTATAGGAGGCAAAATTTAATTTCATATCAGTCTTCTAAGTTGGAATATTGATTACATTGAAGGGTGTCGAATAATCTTCCATATCTCGGCAACCATTTTAGTTACTAGAAAAGAAAGCAACAGTTTTCTTAGTTGAGTGACTTAACAATAACTTTTTCCTCTGCACCTACAGAGAACTTAACGTGGGAATTTTTTTTTATTGCGCTCGTTATCGCACGATATCCAACATGCACGTTATTTTATCACGAGCTGTGTCCAGGATGACGCGTGACAGAAAGAGGCGTAGGGTCAACTTCCCTTAGGTCCCATTTTTCCCGCCCCGTCACGTTCGCGTTCACGTATGCCGATGCACCTAAGAGAATGGTGCATCACTTGAATATGGGTCGATCTCCAGGATCACGGAGGATTTGCTGGCGATGGCAAGACCCAATCAAGAGGCGCTGGAGAAGAAGGGACTCATCCAGCTCTTCCTCGAGTCTGTCTCTTCATCAGTCTTCAGATCGGGGTTACAGGAGGAGGCATCTCTTCTGGATGTTCCCTTCTTTCAGGCAGGGGATTCGATCCGTGGTGAATCTGCAGATGCCCGGGGAGCACGGCTCGTGTGGACCGCCTCTCCTTGAATCCGGATTCACCTATGACCCTGCCTTCGTCATGCAACACGGCTGTGAGTCGCCTTTTATGGTTCGAAGGAAGTCGATCGAATGACAGAAAGCCCGTTACGTAACCTGCAATCCATACGTTACTGTCCGGTTTCCTAAATACGCAGCATCCCATTTCTTTATCAATAAAATTAAAAGAACAATTAAGTAAAAAAAAGTTCTCCTTATTTGACGACTTGTTTTGAACCTAATATGGGGTTTCGAGCGAAATGCGATTTTTTTTTTCTAGAGCGTGTCGTCAGAATAGTATTCCCTTGATTTGTTTTTTTTTTTCAGAGATTTTATTGATAGGTGTATTGAGAAGGCGCGGTGGACCTGTCGAAAGTTAATGTGAATTTATTAGAATACTTGTGCACAGGGAATGGTTACTAATTTTGCTAATCAGCACCCCAATTATTTTATCCCTGGCAATGGATATTTTTTTAAAATCAGCGTAAAAAGGACTTAATTTTAATGATGCGGATCGGATCCTGTTGCAGTGTTTTACTACAACTACGCGTGGAAGGACTACAGTCCATCGACGTTGATGTCCCTGTTGGACATGGTGAAGGTGATGGCGTTTGCCGTCTCCGAAGGGAAGGTCGCCGTCCACTGTCATGCCGGTATCACTCATCTTTCTTCTCAAGCTCATTGGGGAAGTTTACCGGAAACAGAGTGACTGCAAAATACAAAACTGGGTACTGGCTAAAAATGACAACGAAAAATACAGGTCGAGTTGGCTCATTTTTCGGGTTCAAATCTCGTCATTCATGGCCACCAATTGGACATTGTTGCTGAACTATTGACCTCTTGTCGTACGAAACCGCAGCTCTCAAATGGTGTACATATTCATCATTCTACCTCTCATCTCAGAAGGGATTGTTAAATTTGTGATTTATTATCAAATATTGGATTCCGCAGATTTATCTCAAGTGGGCAATCCGATTGCTTGGAATTCCAACCTTTATCGAATGAAGTAGGCATTTTCACGCAAGCATTAGAATACATTGGAACCAGCGCGCACGGTCAGGCTTAGCATACGCGAAGAGTCGTTATCATTTCTTGTAAATCCCTGTATAGAGAGGCCCATCAGTCTTATAATCAATGTCCAGAGAACGGCCGGTGAGTCATTTGAGCCTTAATGCCTCTTAGTGCCAGCTCTGAGATTGTAGGCGGAAAAGGACACCTTTACCTCATGTGACGTCCTATTATGGTGATGTAAATTCAAGTCCCTGATGGGACGCCATCCATTAACATAGGTCTTGTCCCGAGGACGTAGAGATTATGTCAATGTTGGGCATGGCAGGACTTGGAAGGACCGGGGTGCTGATCGCTTGCTACCTGGTCTATTCCCTTCGAGTGCGAGCAAACGATGCCATTCGCTACATTCGACTGAAGAGACCGAACGCCGTCCAGACCCGCGGCCAGATTCTCATCGTCCAGGAATTCGCCCAGTTCATCCTCCCACAGAGCTATGTGTTCTGCAATCGGTCCGTTTCTAAATCCTTCATTCTAATTGCATTTGCACTTCAAGTTAAGCTATTTTCCCAACAAGCTATTTTCCCGTAAAAGTGATACTAGACGAGTTAATCGAGTGTATTTTCGCTTAATATGTCTACGCTTGGGATGCCTTACCGTCACGTGCGAGTGGTGGGAATTGGTTTTGATTTCTGTTTGCTTGTGAAATGCACCTTTCAAGAAAATAGCTGAATCCACTAAAAAGAAGCATGATATAAATAGTGAATAAATTCTGTAAGTAAAATTACTAACTTGGGAATTTTACATATTTGGGGACTAGTAATTGAAATTGTACAAGGTGGACATATGAGAGCGCCGTTTTTCAATCGACTGCAAAAAGCACAACTTTGATGTGAGAGGTTGGAATTTGGTTTCTTTGGGCCACTAGTTTATATTTTCATCATCTATCAGCATTCAAAGTCTCTGTAGACCAAGCAATTGCCTGAAAGCCATTTGGAGAAAATTGGAAGCAAACACAAAGCTCTTCATTTTGTTCATTTGGCTTGCCAAGTTTCTGATCCCTTCATTTTCGATGATGCAATCACGGGAGAATCCTATCCGAGGATGCTGCGGGAGTTTTTAATGCCTTGCCTTGGGCTGTTGGACATCTTTCATTTCAAGAAGATGGCACCTCCCCTCCTTCCGCCCTAACGTATTTATTATTTCTATAACATGCATTTTTAGGCCTTTGGATTGGGGGACGGAGGCGGATTTCCTGGTCACCGCAATCCCCAAATTTCTCCCCATGTGATTTTTTTCTCATGGGGTCATGCGAAAAGTCTAGTAAATGCAAGAAAACTAAGAAATCTTGAAAAGCTATGTAACAAGATAGCAATCTATTCCATTGCTCCCCATTAATTGCGAAACATATTCTCAGCATTCCAAAGGCGCCTTCAACAATACATTCAATGCAAACTCCTAGGTTCTAAGATTAAAAATTGATTGTAAAATTAAAAGAATGCTTTCTCCATAGGATTAAAAAACTACGTGTTCATAAATCTACGCTTTATAGTGGCACTCTGGCTGCAGGGATTAGATGTATCCATTTTCTATGAAATGCCAAAACTTTTCTAACCGTATCTTACTTTTTTTTCCGCTAGGCATTTCACAAAGAACAAGAAGGAGCTGGATTTCACACTACTTCAGTATCTGAATCGGCAGAAGTTCATTCTCCATGGATATGAGGCGCGAGCCCTCAAGAATCTTCCCAAGGTTAGTCCGGTTTAGTCAAACGGGATTAGGATGCAGGAGCAGAATTTTTTTTGACGTAGCGAACGTCGGTTGTGGTAGGTCGTGTACGTGATCTGCGAGCGCTTGATTCGACTCTGCAGCGCAGGTCCACCGGCATCGGTGTCGGATTACGCCTTGGTTGGACCGAATTTTACACAGTTCTTCCTTTCGGCAAGCTTGGACTCAGAACCTGCTGATCCTCCTAACGGGAAGATACCTTCCTCTCAAGATGATCTCTCAACACCATTCAATACAGGTGTGTTCCAAGCTTATGCACTTGATATTGATTTATTCAATTTTAACTATTCCTTCTAGGTTATTCATCCTTACTTATACCCGTTGTTTTCTTTTATTTCTCACATGCATATGTCCAATATCGAACTCGTGACAATATATATTGACGAAAATAGCGTCAGGAGTAGGGAGTTTGAGCGACGACGACATGGACTCGTACGACCTGACCTCGGGATGTCCGAGTGCATCCCACGACGGTCGTATTTTCGTGTCCGATCAAGACCAAGACTCTCTTTGCCTCACGCCCGATATGCCCTCCTGTTCCTCCGCTTTTACCGGTGAGTGCCTTCGGCCTCTCTTCCGCGGTAGTAAGAAGAGACTTCCGCCCGAACGATCCGAATAGTAATAAAATCTTAATCTGGGAGACTTCAACCTCGTGAGCGTAATTCAATGAAAGTACAAAACGTTGCAGTTCCATATCGAAGGTTTAGTTTTGGGGAGGAAAATAGCAAATATAGTTGTCCTGCTCCTAAAAATACATATGTTGCGTGATCGAAGTAGCCAGAAGCCAAAAGAGGGGCTCGAACTCCAAAGCGCCCTCCCCCCCCCATCCGCGTGCGCCACTGCTATAAGCCTCGTGTTGTTTGCTTCAGTCAGGTAACTAGCAAGGACATTTCTGAAACTTCGCCTATAGAATTAGTCTTTCTTTAAACATGCCCGCTCAATAGTGTTTTGACTTTTAATCAATGTCAAATGTCATGGTAAGTGCTTCGAGGAGGATTTGCATAATTTATGGCAAAATGAAAAAAGTATGCAGGAAATGAAAGGTCTCTGAGAACTTCGGAAGGAGACATGAAACATTAAAGACTCTTAAATAGTTTGTGAAATAGCGAGAAATTTGTCGTGCGGGATCCATGCAGGAACTTGCCCAGGTTAAATACTTGTGACCCAACATACTGGGAACGATGAGTGCGAAGGAAAAAAATATACAACCTCATGTTTTCTTAAATAGGTTGAACTTCTATGCCAAAGTGCAAGCTAATTCAATATATGTTCTCAGAATGTCGGAAAATTTATTTGGAACAGTCCCTGTAAATTTTTACGTTCCAACACTTTCATTGTAAGAAGATCCACCGGTGGATTACGTTTACACCTTCCAGTATTGCCACGACTTAATCACACTTCCATTAACTCCGCCCCCTCTGAAAGGTTTGGACGATAGTGCCCTGGATTCCCTGTTGGGAGATGGAATCCAAAATCAGAGCCTGTCCGAGAATCCCGTCTTTCAAGAACTCTCTTCCCACAGCGACCTCCGGAGCGTGACCAAGGAACCCGTTGAGGTAAGGCACCCTTTTCTTTCTAGAACGGTTCAACGATGCTTACCAAATTGACATTACTGCCGTGCAAATGACTTGCAACATGAAGTTTCCTCTCGAATCCCTCCGTTTTTTTTTTTAGCTGTCTGAGATAAATTGAATTCACGAACCTTATTCATTCCTGGTAATGCATCGAGACACATAGGTATTTACAGCCGTCGTAAATTTTTTAAAATATCAAACTGGACATTTCAGAAATTTCTTTATTGAAAAATGAAAGTTCCACCCATTCCCATTGGTTCCATGGTTGGTAAAACTTGATCTTACACGTTAGAAAAGTGGGTAAAAAAAAAGGAAACTTATCATAATCTATATAAAAGGGGAAGTATTTTTGAAAATCGACAACTTAGGAGTTCAAGCTGAAACATCATGTTGCCGGACACTTCTAGCACAGCTGCATTTTGCAGAATAAAAAAAGCATGACCAGGAAGTGGCGCCTATTTGATGACATTTGGTGTAGAAGCATGTGATTACGTGCTACAAAAACAAAATTCCAAGGTAAATAAATGTCTCTTACTTGATAAAAGTCACCCAGCGCCTATTCGTAAAGGGGGTTCCCTTTTTCCAATTCTATATTCGTATTTACTCGCGCTAGTGGAGTTCCGCAACTTTGTTGGGCGTTGAGCTGTAAACCACTACCCAAGCGACATAGACAATAGGAGATAGTTTCGCCTGAGTGACTAATTCGAACGAGGTCGTCTTTAAAGGCAAGGTGTTATTCATTTGAAATCGCCGTCAGCGATAGCATTTGACTTGTCATGTTGGAATTCTGAATAGTCTGGGAACTTTGGTTTGGATACATAATTTTCTTTTTTTCAGACATTACAAGAATAAGTATACCATTTTCTGGGTTTTATTTTTTTCTGTCTTCGGCAGTCGAAACAAAAAAAAACGCTGACATGATATGATATGGATGTATTTCTTAATATGTACCCGACATTTCGCCGCTCATGTGATTATAATCTTAAACCAACATTCGATCCGAAATCCGAATGCCAACCGAGCTACATGGCCCGGCCAGACCCGACCCGAGCAATGCAAAATATATTTTTATTATTTCAATTTGGCATGTTGAGCAACGAAGTGCAATACTTTACTCCCCCCAAGCTGACAATCGGACGTTCTCGTAGCCGTATCATTTCAGATTGCCATGCCAAACAGTAGCTAGCCCACCGTTTCTGTCCTTATATTATTCTCCATTTGACCAATTATATGGAAACGTGAGTTCCACTCCAGCTGAACATTGCCCATGGTCGCAGCCTAGAGGCAAGATAGACAAAAAAACTAACAAATAAATTAAAATCGACACTACCCTAAGAGAGAAGAAAATAATTAGGCCCCCTAACGGCCCCTTATCGGGCAGGCTCACTGTCCGTGCAAACCTCTCGGCTATAGTATCCATGGTTTCTAATGATATATAAGGTAGCTTTCGCTATTATTAATCCGACGTGTTGCATTCCAAAATACAAGCGGCGCGCCCCCTTTGGCTATAAAGGGACAGGACGCGATAAGGTTCGATGAGGAAATCATGAATGATTCACAGGTTACCGCTAGTCATCTATAATCGATGAAGATACAACAGCCAAGGAATAAAGGAAATCATCAATTTGCCCTAAGAAAATTAATGAGACTTCCCGACAATCAGGCAGTACCAAATCGATGCCACGTGGAAAGCGTCAAAGAAAATTAGGACACTGTCGCGCATGCATATGATTTACATTTAGGTTATGATAAACGGGTGTTAATTACAGGTGCTGAACGTGGAATCGGTGTACGAGGCGTTGATAGCCGACGAGGCGGGAGTAGAGGGATTGAAGAAAGCTGTTCTTCGATATCGGCTAGACCTGAACGCCAGGACTTCCGCCTATCTGCGACTGTCGAATGAATGTAATGTCCTTCTCCTCTCTGCTCTGCTCTGGGCCTGGTTCGAGACCTTGAAGATCCCTAGCCTCACCAAGGATCATCTCGCCTACATCGTCATCTCCGCCGACAAGCCCCAGATTTGTCTCAAGAGGCTCGAACCGGTCCGTAATCACATTTCCAATATATAACTCTGAGTTAAGTGCGTTCCCAACGTGCTTCGAATGAAGCAGTACACTCGCTCAATGAGATACCCATTTACGCCTTTACTTTAGTATCAACTCCAAAGCTCAAGAACTACGGAAATGTATCATTTCCCCTAGGAAAATAATAATTCTCTATTAGGAAGCAACAAACGTATAATCCTACGCAAAATCCCTCTCACGCAAAACTCGATATATGCGCAGTGAAATACCTTAATTTCGATGCCTAACAAAAGCGGCAGTTGAAAAATTTCGGCTATTGCATGAATTTTTCTGAGGAAGTGAGTAAATCCTTACTGTTGAAAATCCCTGTTGACATGGACGTTTGTTTAAGCAAAAAATTTTTTTGTGGACAGGGAGTTAGGTACACGTTGGAGTACCTTGTGCGATTCGTGGCGCGATTGCGACCGTTGTCACGCCAGCAGCACGAGGATATCCTCCGACGTATACTGGCTAGTATGACCCATCAAGGAGTTCCCATCAACGGCAACCTCAGACCTTCCGGTAAAATATACAGGGTATGGCAAAAAAAAATGACCAAACGACATTCAACTTAAATATCTTCACTCCCAATGGAGTTATTTTCGTGAAACTCCAGCTGGTAGTGCCGGCCCTCCTGCTTTGCCGCCTCCTAGGGACGGGACTCGAGTGTGTCCTCCACTCCACTACCAGCAGGAACTCTTGTCCATTCCCAATTTCTACCTTTTCAATAATTGCTGATAGAATTCCTTTAGCACAACAAATTTTAGTAAAGTTTGAGGTATCAGTAAGAAACGTACTCATATATGCAATGTGAAAGTTTCGCGAAAATAACTCTAGTGGGAGGGAAGATATTTTGGTTGACAGTTGTTGGTCATATTTTTTTCCCATACCTTGAATGTTTCCAATTCCTTCATTGATCTTTTCCTCAAATCTTTGGTAATTTTGTCTGAGACATTTTAGTGAGAACGGCATCCAAGTGAACAAACACAACTTGACGTGTGACATTTTTCATGGATTTGCCACTAAATTAAGTTTTGTGTCTCTCGAAAAATTTTCCATTTAAAATATTAGATTGAGCGATTACTATACAAGTATTAAGTGTTCTGTCATGCCCGGGCAAAATATGCATTTGAAATAAAAATAAATACTTCTCAAGGTTTACAAAAGCTTGAAAATCCCTCCTTTTATGAATTACTGCATACTTCTATTGGGTAATTTTTGGATTAATACAATGAAATATCCTGAAACATTCAAAACATCCTCTCTTCATTTGGAATGATAAGCAGATTAGATTAAAATATAGCACTAGGGAAACTGTCAACATAAACTATCACACCCTTTAGTTTTTTTCAAGTTCGATTGAATTGTCGAATGCGTGAATCACTGTGAAACCTGGCGCCTCATATTATAAGCTTCCTCAACCAGGGGCATTAAATAAGCGAGATACTTTTTAAACGAATGTAATACCTACACCCTGATGGACATGCGTACATGCTTATGCATCTCTTTTTATGTCCATAAAAATAAAAAATGGCTGGCTATAGAGATGTTGGTATTCTGGGCGATAAAATCATCCAAACTGAGATAGCACCACAGGTTCTGAACTGTATCATGTCCGTTATACAATATGCTATCATCCAATAATCACAGAAGCTATTGCTAAATAATAATTCATACCAGCAAAGAAATATGAAGTAAATTAAAATGGTTCGTATTGGGTCGTACTATTTCCTTTCATCACATCTGCTAGAATGGAAATGCCCTATAGAAAATGTACTCGCAGCTCGCACATGGCATACATTTTTTGGATAAGTGAGACTTGCCATAATAAATATTCCAGAAGTGAACAACTAAAGTTTAAAAAAAATATCGTATGCTTTCTTTCGTTAGAGAAATGGTAAACACCCAATACTACATGAATACTACGAATAGGCTTAATGCGCAGATATTGTGCAATTAGGTTCATGTCCATAACTTCACATCCTCCTTTGACGTGTCCAAACATCTTCACTTTCTGCAGTAACCTATTAACGGTTTCATGACTTTTTTTTTTATCAGAGACGAACGAATCCTATAATCACCCCCGTGCGAGGAATTCCTCTAGGGATATAATAGGAAGGGATTAGACCTAGGAAGAAAAAAAGAATGGTCATGCGATGTTGCATGTGCTGTGTCCACGGAATGCATGTACAGGCAACGTTTCCCTCTCTGTGCTATTGTAATTTTATGATGTTTCAGGGAAATATAAGAAACTGAGGGAAGGAACGCTGAGGAAAATGATGGAATTCCTCATGAAATTTTACGACCTGGTCTGTGAGAATCCCGTCTCCCTCAAACGACCTTCAAGTCTGGGAAGCGTGCTGTCGACGAGTCTCTCCTCTACCCTCATTCATTGGTAATCACTCTACGCATGTCTCCTCACCGCTAGTATTCACGCCATGGACAGTAACAAATGTTCGCAAGAGTTTTTGAAAAAACCACGTCACCCAGAGTTATGACAGGAAACTTTTTTCTTGGAACAGTTCTAGCGACAGTTCCATGAGATCGGCACGATCCTCCAGATCCAGCAGCCAACAACCCCCTCCTCCGGCTTCACCCTTGGAAAATGGGAGTTCGGAGAAAGCACTTACCGCTCAAATGCAGAGAGAGAAGAAACCCTTTCCCCCGACATGAGATTTTGTGATAAATTTACCTTGGTGTGATACAATCCTTTTACGACCATCTGGCCTCCTTGCACATGGCGAAGTTCTGGGGCTTTGACATTTATACGTATTACGTATGCTTAGCACATCTACTATTCGTATTTGTCGGTCCCATACGACTTCGGGGTGATATTATCGTTCCTTTGGTAGGAGTTCTTTCACGAAAGCATATCGCCGCGCAAGCTGAATTTATTGCGATGAAATTTGGTACACAAGGACGTTGAAAAGGTCGAGTTAGTTTTTTTTTTTGCAAAGATCTTGCAGAAATGAGTTTTGTTTGGCAGTGATCACATCTGTTAGAACCACGTTATTGTTCCGAGCGATTACATTAGGCCCGTTACACTCTGGAACATTCTCCTGTAGCATGCAATATTTACGTATTAGATGAAACATAAACAATTGGGCGCCGCACTCCGTTGGAGCTTACTTCAACTTACTGTACGAGAATTTTTTTTTTACCAGTGTGGGGACGAGGGAAAAATTACTTCCCGATGATTCTCCCTCAATTAAAAGTGTTTATTTTTGGCAAGTGAAGAGTTCAATTCCTACTATTAATACTTCGTTAAATTCTAAGAGGTCTTTTGGAGAGTCTTTATCAACTACGGATGCTTTCTAGGAACGACGGGCCAATTGCCCACATTTCATCACATACCAATAGATTGAGTATAGTAAGTTTAGGACAAGTATTAGCCAATTTTTTGCCTTTTTATCGGATTACCGAGCATAGATATCATAGTTGGAACATCTTTATTACAATGTTTGCTCGGCTACTGATCTTATTTTCAAGATATATTTTCCTGAACTTGCCCAACAGGGAGTGATGATCCCTACATCTATGGTGCTTCCTTCCTTGACTGATTTGTAGGCCTTGTAGATTCACTGAGTGCAACGTAAAACATCGGTATTGTTGTGAAGCCCTTGACAGTCCAAGAGACGTACTGTTGGTGATATCTCACTGTGACTTCGACTCTTGTGATGAATGAAATGAAAACATTATCGTTCTGTCTTTCTCCCCTCGTCTTTTTCATCGCCAAGAGAACGAAAAGAAACATCTATTTTAGATTACTTCCATTCCAAGCAATAGGCAAAGGAGATTCCTTTAACAGTCACTATAGTGAAAAAGAATTGAACCTGAAGAGTAATTTAAGCTACTCGCTACACAGACGGCGCTTTTTACTGGATCTATTACTAGAGGAGAAATTTTAAATAGTACGTAAGTTAAAAAAAAAAACACAAATTAAACCGCACGACGTGGGCGAATAAACAAACAGAAAAGGTGACAAAGTCTTAGTCTTCCGGTGAATGAATATATTCAGGTACTTATTGGTATTATTTATTTCCAATTCACAATGAGGTGGTACGTATATATGTAAAAATTCAATTATTTTGCTGGTCGTAAAAAATTACGTAAAGTTCTTTGTTTTGGTTTTAAAGGATGGAAGTAGATGCACCTTCCTCAGAACATCTTGGTTGTGAAGGTAAAGGTTATGTAATTTCTACGCAAAAACAAAGAGATTTGCTTCATGTTTTTGACAGATAAATCCTTCGAAATGTGAAGATGTATTAGGGTGAGGACAATACCATTTCTTACAATTTTAGTTACCATATTGGTACCAGTGCAAAATCGCATCACCGTCACATGAGAAAATTTGTAGGCAAGTGTGAAACGTTACTCCAAACTGCCCACCAACGTCTTGCATCTTAGAGAGAAATTCTTCCTATCATGGAAAGGTTTCGGACTTGTAGAAAAGGTAGTAGGGTTAACCCTTTCGCTGGCATTGGTGTCCCTTGAAGCCTGAATGCTTCATCAACTGACGCCTCCAGAGGGTGGTCGTAGAATTAAATTTCCGCCTGCCAGTGAAGGGGTTAAGATGGTATGAAAAAACTAGCTGCCTCCTCCCAACTGCTGCAACGTAACCTATAACCCTAAAATCAAATCCGAGGATTTAAGTTTCTCATGGTTAGAAGTGCAAAAAGTTTTGAGATGGTTGACGTTAAAGCATTCAAAGTATTTTCTGCAAAATGTAGGAGAATTTTTTCAAATTATATTGAGATAGAATGCAATGCGCTTGGAAGCAATGCAAAAAGCCCACAGAACTGCTAACTTTCCGACTGGCAACTCTATCCCAGTTCATCTTGGAAATTCTCTTGCGCGGAAAGAGTCGATTTCCGAAATGAAGTTCAGATCACACTTAAACCCCGAAGAGTCTTATTTAACCCGTTCTAACAGAAAAAAGGATCATGTTGAAATGTCAATTAAGTGCAAATGAATTCCGAAAATCGTCAGCATTTTCAGAATTATGCATAGCACCTCGATTTTTCACAAATCGTTAGAGAAAATAGAACTTAAGTTGGAAATAATTCACTTAAGAACAAAATTGTTCGAGAAACTTGTCTAGTCCAGACAAACATTTCACGGTGACAATTTGCCTACCTTCGAGTGAAGAGGCTCCAACTCGCACGGACACCTCCAGCGACACAAGAAATCCTGCGTCCTGTTGACGGTCGAGAAACCCTTCTGCAAATATGTCCAACTGAAAAAAATTGATGCCGCAGAGGCAGACGACAGTCTCGCGAAAGCGACTCCCAACAGAAGAAAATTCTATGACGGTCGCCTCTGCGAAAACAGCGCCAGCAATAGGGAACGTACTGTACTATGTGTGACCTATTAGCATAACCAATCTCACAGGAGAAGAGTATTGTCATGAGCTACTAGCGATGGAAGTAAAGCGTGTGATATAAAATTTGAGAAAGCCACAGCGACGTACCTTTTCTAAACTCTCAAGACGGTCAGATTTAGAAATTGCCGACCAGTCAAATTGAATGCAGGAAATGTAAATTCCATAAATGTATTAGCGAATTCAAGCGGAAGTAATCTAGGACATATTGGAAGGAAGACCGGAAGATCTCAGGTTTCACATCCGGAGGTCTCATCAGGCCTTTACGCTTATGCTAGTAGATAATCTCTCTCTCTCTCCACTCCTTACAATCCTCAGGTCGAGAGTTACTTGAGTGATGATAAAAGACCCAAAGAGAAAAGTTCAGGAAGGCAACAGTCGAAATGTTGGGTGTGCAATATTTCAGGGGTGTGTCTTGCATAGGGGGCAAAAAAGGAAGAGTTTCATCACATTACCAAAGCGTCCATGCAATAGAGACTGGCACCCTGAAAATAACATGTAACTCCATAATGAAAGTGAGAAGTTTCAACACCCAGGGGGCTGGAAGATCTCCCAGTAACAACAGCCTAACCTCAAGGTGTCAAGAAATAATAATAAATATCTGTAACTGTACTTCTGCTTCCCTAACTGAAAAATAGTGCACAAAGAGCAAGCATTTCAACATCGTAGAAGTTATTTTCGCGATAACACAATGTCCATGTTCATGGACATCACAACTTAGATGGGCATGGCACTACCATTTTATTTTCTAGGGTCTTCCGATCCAAAACGTTATGGAAAGTCCACAATTGTGGATGTGATGCAACAGTTGCTCAGTAAGCCAGGAGCCTATTCACTGCAGTTGATTGAAATGGCCTAGCCCCTATAATGAGTTTTCTGGAAAAGATAGAAGGGGGGGGGGGGGGGGGGGGGGAAACGCCCATAAGCCCTTTTTTCACATGCATGCTGGTGCACTGTTTTAGGGCACTTGCAATAGGATGGAATGACCTTGAGTTGGTTCAGATGTGCTTGTAGCAGAAGAGAAGAAAATTTTCTCATGCTCTTGCTAGATGACAGACAGGTGTCCAGCTGTCTTATTATGGCTGGTTTCAGGGAGGAAAGCAGAATAAGGACTATAAATAGTCATCTGAACCAATGGAAGGATCCCTGAAGGAAAACTTAATGGTGCTCATGCTTACACAGGGAGATTGGGGTTTTTGTGAAGGACTTTTTTAAAGCTCCTGTTTTTCTTTCTCCTGGAAGAAGGGTTTTCTAAAACCCATATATTAATTTATGAGAAATTTATTTTTAATTAAAAATGACGACTGAAAAGTTCCAATAGTGTGGACATGAGTATATGAATCAATTTCTGCCAAAATTATGGCAATTCGAATTTTAAAATATTTCGTTTTAGCCCAAATTTTAAACAGCCTAAGGTATTACATCACCAAAAACTGGATACAGTTCAGTTGCAGATGAACTCTGTGGAGATTTCCTGCTTACTGCAAACTGTGCCTTTTGCACATAAGTTCTTTCTCCTGAGAATTTGATAACTGTTCCCAGCAAATACCTCTTAAAACTATTTCCAAAAGGTAAGAGAATACATTTAGACTAATCAATAAGCAGATTCATCACAGATAGAATAGGCTTTTACTCAGTTCTGGTAATACTAATAGGCAAGATTTTATGAAAAAAAGCAAACAAATTTCCCTCCAATGCTGGCAGAAGAACAATTGTTAATGCTTAGATCGTCCTGAGAGAGGCTAATCATATCACAGTGGGAATTCCCATTCAATGCTATGAATTTCTATGGGATCAATGTCTGTCATCATAGTAAGTACCGGTAACTTACTTAAGCAAAAAATATTACTCCAGTGTTGGTGTGCTTGGCCCATCTGGTTCCCAAAAAAGAGAGCAAAATTACTTCTTCCTTTTCTTGGGAATGATTCATGCGACAAAATAACAGTAATTTGCGTGCAAGGAATCATTCTTTTGCCAGTCCAGCCTATCAATGGTGCCTCTACATTCCCTCAGGCATAATCAACTAATAGATTGGTGACTTGATGAAAAAATTGCCAGTTCATACCCCAGATAAATACTCACTGCATATAGTCCCTTAAAACAGGATAAATGCAACAAAAAACAGCAGAAGGGGAAAAATCAAGGCATGAACAATGAAAATGGAAAAATCAAGAAAAAATATTTAAAAAAGAAAAGGATAAGTATTTCCCCCCCAAAGGAAGGATGTAGAATATGAAGGTAGATGTGTGACGTGAAGATTCAATGCGAGACTGTGTGAATGTGAGAATGTGAGACTCTTGGTTCCCAGAGTAAATGATGGGAGCGCTGAAATTAGATCCAAAGAAAACCTGTGCTGTACCTAGAAATGTTAAGGAAAGTTGGTTAACACTAATTGAACTCCTTTGATTTATAAAAAATTAAGTCATTCTTTCCTCTTTTAGTTCTGTGAAGTGGGGTGAATTTAAACTAGGTGATGTCATCAAAGAAACTTTGACCTGAAAAAAATGCTACTGGAAGTAATACTCCACAGTGAAACACCAATTAATCTTTTCCCATACTGAAAGGTAAAAGTTCATTGCCTGCAAGAAGAAAGATAACTTTAAGTCTCTCACCATGGTACTAGCGTAAAAGAAAAAAAGCAGTCTTAGACCTGTATGGGCTTTCATATTTTTGAGACACAGCTGAAATCCTTGATATAGAATGAAAACTGTACAGAGCCAAAAAATGGAAGCATATTGGTTGCTTTTGAACCTGAATGAGGAATTTGAAAATCAAATCTAAAAAAAAAAGAGAATTCTGAAGCAGCCTGGACAGAAGCATTTTCTTCTCTATTTAACACCCTGTCCAAGTGAAAGGAAAGAACACAGAATTTCCCACATCACGAAAATGTTTCCTCATCACTTCCATCTTCATCAGGATCTGGTAGTGCTTTGGACACTGTGATTGGTTCTGTCTTGAATGTGTGCCTCACTGCTTCTATCTCCTCAATCTGAGCCTAGAATTGTCACATAGGAGGAGAAAGAAGTTCTTGTTCAAAGATGCAGCCAGCATGATTCAGGCCCCTCCCCCAGCAATAAATAGAAACAATGGAGCAGGTGATAAGCCCAACATTTAAAAAGAAATTTCACTGTTAATTAATTAATTGTAATGAAAAAAAATAAGAAAAGCCAGAAGAGGACAGGCAGGAGGGGGAAGAAAGAGTTGGACTCACTCTGACAGCAAGTAGGTGCTTCTCCCGCAAGGCTCTCAAATGTCGCATGGGAAAGGGGTTTAGCTCCAAAAATGCCACCTGGATATGAAGAAAAGAGAATCATTGTATTACATGCATTAAGTGTGCATCCTAAATGTCTTACCTTCATTTAAAATAAAGTACAATGCCATCTTGATTCACCTTCTACCTAATTTACACATCTTTCCAGTCTCAAGTTGAAACAGTCTTTGACATGTAACTCTTGACCTCTTTTATTGATTAGGTAAAGGACAACATTTTTATTCTCTTACTTGAGATATATCTAATGGCATACAATAGATTGGTTGATGGAAGGAATCACTTTTGCCCTTTCATCGCTACCAAAAAGCAAGTTTTTTTCTTTCAATTTCTACATTTCCCCATCATTCTTCTTGTGGTAAGGAGCAGGATGCAGGTAACAGCAATAGCCTTACTGCTCCCTGAAAAATCTTTCAATGGATGACCATGTAGTCAGCAAATTTGGAAATAACCAAGACACCCATTTACTGGCAACAGGTAAATTTTGCATCTAGGATGAGACGACAGCATTCAAAATATAAATTTGATTTTTCAAAATGCAAAATTGAAAGACAGGGAAAATTACATTACAATAGCAAAGTTTTGGAAGCAAATGATGGGTTTATGTTTTTATAGCTTTTGGAGAGCAATAATTTTCACAAATTAGAAAGACTTAGTCACACTTGATCCAATGGAATGTCAATTCACAGTTCTTTCATGCTATACATAACAGATGAATAGTGCATTGGTCTATGGACAAGATGCACCAAATGCTCATGAAGTCAACTGCACACTGGTGAGACATTTTGCAATGTCTTCACTGGTAAAACAGGTTCAAGCTTTCATACAATAGACATTCATTCATCTTCCCAAGTAATAAAGTATGAAATTCCACAAAATTCTTGATATTCAAGGAAAACTGAAAATTTCTTAATATTTTGGCTTCATTTCCCTGACCTTTCCAATTTACTAGATCTTTGGGAACCCTCATTACACCTTCACTTGGAATAAATAATGCAAAGGTAATGCTTTTCCTTCTTTAGAATAATAATACCTATGAAAATTATAAAGGAAAAAATTTGGGAACCTGAGAGATGCGGGATGCATCGAGGAGAGTCTCAGGGTATGAGTGGAGGAGGTTGAACATGGACATGTGGTCAGTCTGTCTCAGCAGTTCTGGTTCAACCAATCTCAGAATGGCCAATGCATATCGGAATAGCACCTATACAAAAATTCAGAGATATACCAGCAGAACCGTATATCATTTCTCTTAATATCATGGGAGGTATGAAGGGTATAACAAAAGTCCACACTCAGGTAATTGGGACTATTTCATTTTACTTTTCCAGGTGATTGCTATTAAAGTGGACTAAAAAAATCTGGACAGTTTTCAATGACACTCTGAAATGCATTTACTGAATGCATTTTTGAAGCATTTTATGGCATTTTATGGCAAAGAGGAACAACTAAGAATTAAAATGGCATACTAACGTTTAAAAAATAACTTCAACGGCTTCAGAAATTCGGAAGTTCATATGATATGCTAACTGAGATTCTTTTGCAGCAGTGAAAATGTGGCTGTGGCTGAAGGTCACATGCCATCTGCACGTGAGGGCAAGGTTAATGCAGTTTTTGCATGTTATTCATGTGAGCTCCTGAATTTATGAAACTCCTGAAGATATGTGAAATGTAAGTACACCATTTTATTGCTTATTCCTTCCTCTTTCAAGTGTCATAAATCACATTAAAATATATGCTGTGAATGAAGTATAAAGTATAGCTGAAAACTACCTGGGTTTTTTTGGCCCACCCTGTATATATGGGAAATGAGAAGGATTCAAAAATGTAAACATTTTTTTTATAGAAAATATTCTACTTGTTCAAGTTCAAGAATTCAAGGCAAGTTCAAGGAGGAAGGATACATGATGATCTAAAATGTCATAGGCCAAGGATATGTGCTTGGGGCAAGTAGATACTATGCAATTTAGTTCAGGAAGCTGGCTGCATCAATTTTGTCCTCTTGGTACAATTATGCACTAAGAGGACAAAAGTGATTGCACAAACCATGTGCAGGACATTTTGATGGCACACAGTCTTTGCATAGCCCATTTATCAGACAGACCTCCTTTGCCTTAGATGACAGCAACACACCATTTTGTCAACACCTGTAGCCATCCAATAGTATGTGTCTTGCAGAATAGCCTCTCATTGCCAGATCCCCATTTGCTTAGTGTGCATGGTTAGGCTTGCATTTTTGTCCATAGCCTACACATACTGAGTAAATGAGGTATTTACGGTTGCTTCTGGTAGACCCTTGCTTCTATACTTAAAACAAACAGATTTTCATCTACTTTCCTTTAATCTTATTTCCTATGTAAAAGCTATTTTTGTGTCCCAGTTATTATGTACAGGGACTCTCACATCATTGCTTTTATTTTACATTGCCCACAGTAGGTTTCTTGTCCATCTAAAAGGGCCTCTAGTATTTAAACTTCTTTTTAATGATAGGGCTAACCACTGTATGGAAATATATTGGAGAAAAATCTAGTACTTGACTAGTTCTGGAGGTGTAACAATTGCAGCCTTCTTTCACTCTACATGAAGTTTCCACTAAACTGTATTAATCAGTTTTCTTCACTTTTACATGAATATAAGATATTAAAAAAGTATTTTGAAGGCAATTTCCCTGACTGAAATGTTACTCATTCACAATCTATATCTTCCCTATACTATTGTAAACTTCCTTCACTTCCTGTTCAAGCCAACAGTACATACAATTTTTCCTGACTCATTGGCTAAATTGAAATTTAGGCAGTTTCCCTGACTAGTCCTTTATTTTTGGACCCCAGCTCTAATTCCAAGAATTTTCCAGGTCTTCCTTATCTTGAGAGATCTTCATAAGCACTCAAGATAAAATGACAAAGCTTTCTGCCACTTGTAGGTTTCCTATACTGAATTTGTGGGGATACCAATTTTATTTTCCAGTACAAAAAAGCTTTGAAAAATTAATCGGGTTGGGTTATGAAAGCTGAGCTTTCCTTCAATGTATCTACACTGTATCTACAGTCGAACTCGGTTATAGCGAAACCTCAGTTATAACAACGAAAAGTACCAGGTCCAGGCGTAGAGCCCATAAGGCATGTTATATTTTACCTCAGTTATAGCGAGAGAAGGTCCAAAGAAGTGCGAACATTACAATTAGTGGGTCAATCCTGAAACTGAAGCTAGTGTTTGATTGCTGATTTACACTGGAGTCATAATGTTATATAGCATCTATTTTGAAAACAGGAAAAGGGAATGTCAATAAAGGCAACCTCAGTTATAACAACGATTTTTCCCTGGTCTCTTTGATGACATTATAACCAAGTTCTACTGCATATAGAAAATGTTGAACTTCTACTTTCATAAAAGGCTTTGTCAACCATAAATCCCTTTCAACTAAAGGTAAAATCTTCGCATGAATAATATTGGATACTTGATAAGCCTCCATTGCTGAGAACCAATACATTTCTAGTAATCTCAGCATCTATTGGTAGCTGGTAATCTATCAAATACTACATTATCTCTAATAAGAAAAAAGCAGGAGGGCGAATTCAGGACTCTCTCACCTTGGATCCTTCATAGAGGAAGGTGTCCCAGATGCGGAGATACGTCCTAACAGGGATGTTGTCAACAAAAATGCAGAGGAACCAGTTGAAGGTGAAGAGGGAGAGGTCTACACAATGTCTCTCTAGGTGGTGGTGCAGTGCAGGCATTTTCTCACCCACTAACTCCTTCAGCACCCTCTGCAAAAAACACTCTACTCACTCCTCCAGCCTTATACTTTATAAGTAATAAGCCATATACTCCAACCTTATAGCTCCTAGAAGTACACCACTAAAGAAGGGAAGTAAACTGAAAGGAATTACAAAGATGTATTAGGAAGATGATTGGCAAGCTGTGAACTTAGTACCAAGAGTGACTTAATTTGACCCTAACACCCAGAAAATACATCCACAAAAACGTGAGCCACCACAGGAGATTTCATTTCAGTGCTCTCTTGTGGTTTGAATGTGAACCACAGTTTCATTCCAATATTGGAGTCTTTCCAAAGACAATGTGAAGCTTACTTTCAAACTTAATTTAGGCTTATTCCTAGGATTACCAAAAGTTGGGTGCTGCTGGTTGAGAATCACTAAGAGCAATGACAGTTGGATTTTTGGAAGTTGATACTGGCCCAAAGATGTACAAACTCAAGAACATATAATTCCAAATGGGGTGGACTCATGTTATTGGTGATAAATTCAACAGTAAGACATTCTTCTATGCTTCATAACTTCATTTTTTTAATGCAAACTTTAAAGTTGGGTAATTACACATTCAAGTTTCTTCTGCCAAAAAGGAAACAATTACCATAACATACCAATTCAACTTTATTCTGACCCCTTGAACGGGAGAGAACATTCCTTCGTGCTGGAATGTGAAGAGGATGAGCAACTACTCTTCCTCCTTCATGTTAGCATTAATTAGCTTTTTGGGATCCTCTGCCGGACCTGTTCTGACAATTTTCCCTGTTCTGCACCAAAGTCAGATGTCCTCCAACATATATTTCATGCATCAGTATTCCTGCTAGCTCTGATGTTGGAGCTATTACAGCAAGATCTAGATGTTGGCTAGTGTTTCTTGAAGTAGTTTAAAGAGTTTGGCAACAGGTGGCACTAGAATGCAATTACTGTAAAAACAATAGTAATAAAGTAATAGTATCAAACAAAATCCTCCCATTTTCCTTATTTGTGCTGAAATTAAATTGGAGTTGACAGTCACACTCTGATGAAACTGGATCACAAAGGCATAAGGAGAGAGAGCAGGAAAAGGAAAAATGAACTAGATGGTGAAGGGACTCCTTTTTTCCCCTTAAGAATGCAAGAATAATTTAATTCAAGAGCTGTATGAGCTTTGAGGATGGTCAATTCCAGCTTTAATCTTTAAGAAATACTGGTATGGGGAAATTGATTAAATGTCTAACAAGGACAATGCAAAAAAAAGGCATGAATCACATTGAGAAAAGACGTAACATCCTGTGGTCTGACTTTACAGATGTGCAGCCTGAAAATGAGAAGAGACGTAAAAGAAGGAAAAGCAATCAACAGATCTTTTTGCTTGAACATGAATACCTCAAGGAGGATTGGACACTCTCTGTTCATTTCAGGCTAATGGAAGGCTTTCCCCTTCCAGCCCAAGAGGTCAGAATCACATTGTTGAGTCCCTGCTTTCTTCAATGCAAGCTGCAAGCTAACAACAGCTTCAAAGTCAATTTCATAACTTTTTTGTGCAAGAAAAAACAGACAAGATGATTCCAGAATTCTACAGTTTTTTCTTTTCTTTGGCAAGGATGAAATATCTGCAGAAGCTGACTAATATCTTTCAATCACAAGAACAAGAGTTCATGACAATAACTAGATATATTAAAATTACTCAACAAAAACATTTAGATCTTGTGCTATCTCTTTTTTCATGGAATGGAGAATTATTAGAAATGAAAATCTCAGCATGAACCAAACCCTCACCTGATCAACCTGTGCACCCAGTAGTGTCCTGCTATAATACTCAGGAGGAAGCAAGTGTTCCACTATATGGACAAGGCACCAGAAAGCCTCCTCTTCGCTCAGGAACAATAGAGCAATTGCTGCCACTCGATTCAAGCCCTTCATTGAGAAGAACCATGCCCAATGACAAGAAAAAATATAATTTCAACACACATTTTACAGGATAACAACTAAAAGAGACTTCAGGACCACATAATACCACCAAACCTATGTATTTCACTCTGCAAAGAAAGAAAATTTGAAGCAGCTCAGTATTGCCACAAATGAAAATTACTCAGGCTGGAATACAACAGCATTCCTTTACTTGAAAATATTTTTTTGGGGTCCTAGGTTATTAGGTTAATAATCTAGTGTTAGGTTATTATTGACTTTGTCACTAGAAGCACTGGAAGTATGTTTCATTGCTTCTGTGAAGCATGGAATTCATCTGAAGAAATCCAGTATAGTACATGTGCTGAAGGTGTTGCCCAGAAGGCCTCACCTGGCAGTATCCAATGTCAGGGTGATGCAAGCTAAAAGCAAGGAGGACTCGGCGGAGACGTGGAATCCCATCCGAATCCAGAGATTCATAATGTCTGTTGTTGGGCAATGTCCGAACCAAATCAAGTTCAATCTGCAGTAAAAATAAAAATAAAATATAAAAAAAGAACCCACACTAGGAACAGATTGAGAAAACAGATTATCACTTCTTCCCATAGGTTGCTAACACCAACTTAATGGCTCAAAAATGTCATATCAGCAGGTGCCCTTATACCTAAATATGTTGGATTTATTCCCCAACATCCAAAAATGCAATAATGAGCTCTACATTCTTCCATCTTGATGTCTAGAGTTCAGGATATATTGATTTTTACATATCATTCAATACAGTATAGACATTCATTGGAGTGGGATATCCAGTTTTCAATAACTGCAGACAAATGAAAGAAAGCAGACAAACCACTAGCAATGAATTCAAGGAGACCCCCCCTAAAGTGGTACAGCAAATTAAAGGAGAATACTCTGCATGGGTTGCTTGGGATCAAAGAGGTTATAGGTCTCTGATGGATAACATACTATCTACAATTTGAGACAGGGGGAGGATGTGAAGAAAAATGGGCCAGCACATAAAAATCAAATCCCTACCCATTAATTTCCTACATAATGCTCTACATAAACAAGGCTTCTAAAATTACTCAATATGGCATAGAGATTGGGGCAATATGGACAGACTTTTCTTAGCCCTCTTTATCTAAGGGAGGTGAAACACAATACAAGCAATTCAGAGTTAAATCAGCATTAATTCTTCAACAAAACTCCAGGTAATCAACTCAGCCTACATGTGGAGCAACAGCAAACAATGGTGCTTTTAATACCACCAAGTCAACAACTGGAAAACTCTGTAAAGCAATTTAGAAGAGAGAGGGGAGGACCTGCTTGGCAACGGGATCCATGCGTGTATGACCAGTAAAGGTGCCAAGGAGCTGATGATAGTACTTTGATTCCAGCTTTTCTTGAATACCTGGGAGGCGGGCTCGAATAAGATGAGACCAAACAATCCTCCTCTTCTCCAGAGGAATCCCTGATCTCAAAAGGAGCTTCACATTGGGCAGAGGATATGAGGATGGTCCCATTAATTTCCCCTCAGATTCCATGGAGATGAGAAATCCCTCCCAGCGAACACGCCACTCTGGATCCAAGGTTTCCATCTAAGTACATGAAGCATTTCTTTTCATGAAAATCAAGAGGCTTTAAACAAAATTGTGATTAATGGCTCATAGTTGGTATAAGCTTCTATATGCTTTTCCTGTAGTCAGTTGCATCTTAATGTAGTCAGTGGAGAATAAGCAGCCAAAGATAAATAATGGACTCTTAGAGACTGCAGGGAGGACCTACAATTTCTTGTATACAATGCCCATGTGTTTCAGACATCCCTGTTGGACAATAGCCATTCAACATCAGATGGGTTGTCTTTGAAAGGCCAACCTCAATAGCAGTCTATGCTTTCCATTATGTTCCTGCTCTCTGGGGCAATGGAAGCATGCTTTCCTCTTCCCTGAGGTATAAAAAACAGTTTCACATCTTGAACTATGCCTTGAAACATTCTGCCTGTTAAAACTGAATCAGTAACCAGGCACAATAGGTATTGATGTGCACAGCTCAAGACAATGGTGCATCATGGATGCACTAGTAAGACCTATCCACATACAGGAGACTATACAGGGAGCAGCTTAAGTTCTGGGACCAACTCTTTCAAATCTTTTAATGGAAAAAAAAAAGAAAATTCACTGGCTGAAGGAATAATATGATAAAGAAGACATATCAAAACACTGCTTTAAAGATCAATTTCAAAATAACCACCTTTGGCTTCAATAAGAGTGTCCAAATGAAGAGGAAACTGGTCGACGATGGTGTGCAACTGCATTTAGTCTATTTCCTCTCAGGCATGGAGCAGATCATGCTGCAGTGAATCCACACTTTTGTGAGCTTTCCAGCAAAATTTTTTGCTGCAGCATTCCCCAAACAGAATAGTCCATTTGATTCATGGCAGGCAAGTTGGCCATCCGTTCATCTGGGGCAAAGAAACTTGGACAATTCTTTCAGAGAAACCCAAGTGATCTTGGCTTTGTGCAATGGTGCAGAGTCTGGTTGAAAAATTCATTCACCTTGTCCAAAATTTGCCTGAGCCCACAGAACGAGGACTTTCTTTATGACAGTCTCAATGTAAACTGGAGCATTGATTTTGATGCTGCTCTGAATAAAGACCAGTGGAGTCTTTCCAGTATTGCAAATCCCTCCCCACACCATGACCGAAGATGGAGCTTGCTGCCTTTGGATGATTTGACGGTTGATATTGCCTGCTGAACGATTCTCCAGAAGGACACAAACATTTTGCAGGTTGAAGACTTCCTCTGTCGTGAAAAGTTTCTCATCCGAAAAGAGAACCATTCTGCGGCAGCCATTTGCGATTAGACGTTTCATTAATTTTTCTTTGCATTGTCATTGTTAAATCATTTTTTCTGTCAATTTTTGGGCCTTCTGCTGCTTGTAAGGGCAAAGGTGGAGTTCATCCTTGATGATACAATGCACAGTTCGTTCGTGGATCATCCCCATTGAATGTTTTGGATTTCTTTTGATCTGAGATTGGATGGCTTTCTTTCTCTTTTTAGTGCTCGCAGTTCTTGGATGGCCATATTTTTGTCAGTCTTCAGTAGTACTCATCTCTTGAAAGCGAATGACAGCTTGCCAGATTCTTTTTCTTGAAATCTCAAGCAAATGTGCAATTTTGACATTGCTTTTGCCCTTCTTGTGAAGCTTGATTATTGTGATACGCTGATCTTGTTTAGACATCTTAAGAAAAGAGGATGAAGGAAGGAGAAAAATTTTCAGAAAATATGCAAAAGCTTAGACATAATGAGAACCAACACTTGCAAACATGTTAAAATTGATAAACAATGCAAATTCGAATTAACAAAAATATTTTCAAAGATGGAAATTACGAAAAAATTATGGTTCCAGAACTTTTGCCACATCCTGTAGTCACTAATGCTGCAAATTTAATGGACTTCTCAGACTGATGTACATACACAGCAGTTGATTACAAACAAAAAATTGCTAACATAAATAATACCTTGCATGTGTTTTAAAAACAGGAAAGTGCTTCAATGTTTAAATACAAAATTTTTTAATGTTTCCTATTAATTAGAAATCAATAGTGGAAACATCTTATCCTTTAGGCAAAAGTCCATGGAAGGGCTCATTTTTCAACAAAATATCAATAGTGGCCTTGCAAATTATACATTTTCTTGAAGTTTTCAAATAAGTGGTTGAAAGGACCTTGCTTAATATAAGAGAAGACAATTTTCAAACATTGACAGAAAAAATACTGCAAATTGCAGTCTCAGGGGGAACAAGAGGTATTGCCAAGCAAATCGCCCATATCAAAAGCACTAATGTTGAGCTGGCAGCTTTTAAGGTGGTACCAGTGAGCATTCATCTCATTATAGCATCAGTTAATACTGAGTTAATATTCAAGGTGGAAGTGGTTACAAACAACAATTGCATTTCAATTCTAAATGTGGCATTAGTATTCCAAATTAGTACCAATGTTGGTTTGAGAATACCACTCAAAATCTTAGTTCTGAAAGGTCACAAAGTCTATATTATTTATTTCCAGAATCTCTGCACAAAAGGAGAATAAAACCAGGATAAAATGAGGTAGCCATCCCAATGCAGATTTTCACCATGAGCATAAAATCTAAGGTTTCCAAACTTACACCTTATCCTGTACTTAAGAGTCTATTTCAGAGACAAATGGACTTTTGTGCGAGTATAAGGAATAACCTAAAAAAAAAATTAAACAAGAATATAATTTTTAAAAGGCATAAAATAGAAGACCCACTGTGGCATCAATTGCAAGCTCTCCTGCTCTATCTCGAGCAGACAGGGCTTTCATCAGAAGAGGATCATCTCTAGTGACAGCCACATCCATGGTGGTGCGTGTGAAGCCCAGCTGGTCATACAAGCCACTGTGCATTGTGGACCTGTCAAGGGAAAAAACAAGGAGGAAATAATCCACTGTACAACAGGGGCCAAACAGGAGAAAGTATGTCAGGGGAAATAATGCAAGTGACCAGGAATGAGACATCATTACAAGTAAATATATAAGGTGACTTAAGTTTTGCTATATTGCAAGTAATTAACAATCAATAGCTGTTGCAAAGACCTTTCACAACAAGAGCTTGTACCTTCATGATTACATGAACAAAAATATGTTCAGGGATTGAAATTTTGCCACCACAAAAAATTGGTCTTTCACCTTTTCCTGGCCTAAATGCCCAAAAGCGGATGAGAGGGGTACATCCCGGTGATGCATGGCTTTTAAATGGGACTGGGAGAGGGTTAATCCATTTGGACCAATGGTCATACTAGTATGGCTGGCCCAAGCTGCCTCTGCCATCCTATGGCCATGCCATTTTGGCTGCAACGTCTCACAAGTTGCAATGTTGCTTTCACAAACCCCATGCTGCTCCTAAGTGCAGGAGAGTTGCAGTAGCATCCTAATATATGTCTCATGCCATCTAGCAGCAATTTTAAAAATTTTTAGAGCTGACAAACATTAACAAAGAAAATTCTACATTTGCAAACACACAATGCACTGTGAAAAGAAGCACCAAGACACGTGATTTATGTATATGGCCTTTGACAAAGCACTCAATAAGCATTCTTGTTTTATGTAGTACTGCACTCTGAACCACTACTAAGGTAAGAGGAACCTAAATAAATGCTTCACCTCAATATATTTAGCTGTTTTTGAGTTATGACAATAAAACCCAAGCACTGCACTGAAAAGTTACACCTCAAAAAAGAACCCAGGCCAGGGCAGGCAGTGTGCTTTAACAAACTCGATCTCAAAAGGGTTAAATTCAACTTCACCTTGCATTACAAGGAGTAATTTTTTAATTAGTGAAAAAACAGAATTATAAAAATCTAGTGAATGAATCGAAGAAAGCAGTGCTTTCTTCGATTTTCCACTCCTCTAATCTTCCACCTCATGAAAAAAAAAAGGGAAAAATTCAAGCAAAGGTTGGTGACCATTGCAATAAAGCCTCCCTCCCAACTGCCCAACACTATGTGGCAAAAATGTTCACATTAAAAACTTTCATGAAGATCAGATTTCTGCAACTATGCAACCCATTTCAAAATTCACAAAATTGTCTCATAGAAGGTGAAAGAATAAATAAAAACCACAGTTGACTTGAGAGGATGCAGAGAAACAAGAATGTAAGTTGAATTAAAAAACATGTTCACGTAACATCTAGAACATGAAATTAATCATGCATACAATAATAACAAGTGTCAAAGAATTCATATCAAACCAATTTTAAGGGAGGAATACTACTATTTTCAAGTTAGGTGCAATAGTATGCATTTGGATGCAGTGAAGAGGTAGAGAACAAGAGCAAGATAGAAACCTTGAGAGGGCTAGTTGGTCCTGACATTCAAGAACATCTTGAAGGAGACGAGAGATGAGCTCTGGTTTACAGATGGAGTTCCTGGCTCCTGCTGGGACATGCAGGTCACTTAACAGGGACAAGTACTTGCTCTGAGTCTGGTAGAATCTCCCTTCCCATTCTCGACAATGCCTGATGAATGAAGCCAGTTTGCTTTCAGATGCCTGAGCCAAGAGAAAGCCATCTCTCACAGAAGAACTTTGTAATGTCAGGATTGGAGCTTTAAAAAAAAAAAAAATCTCTAAACTGCAACTTGAAGCACAAATGTTGACTTGTTACATCCCATGATCACTATTTGGGGATCTAGCAAATATTTTCATTCCAGAAGAATACAATACCATTAACAAATATAATTACTTACATGAAGTTAAGTGTCTGTCAATTTCAGAATATAGACTTTTCAAATTATATTTCCTGTGTATATATACATGAATATACATGCCATGAGCATACTGTACATATATGTAAATTAAAAATTAATGCTTCCTCTATACTTTGGTTCAATTATGGGAGAATAACTAAAATGTAGTATTGGGTAGGGAGTGGGACATATGCATACATGATTTGTTCTAAGAGAATTTGAAGCCAAGACTGATTCCCAATTAGGAATCATGCAACAAAACAAAAAAAACTGGGCACTAATGGAATACACGAATTTCACCACCAGTGTAAAGACATACAAACACCTTGCAAGTACTTTTCAGGGTCACTCACCTAGTGTATAAACATTCAGTCAGCACTCACTAGTGAGAACAAATACACATAACATGATGTTTGTTCACTCACAGGTGAGGACTTCCCAAGTATGTCTGTACTATAATGCTGTCATTTCATGTATATATGAAACTCCACAAAACATTTAATAGCTTTACTTCCAAAGGTGAGGTGTGGTCATGGCATGTATAACATGCATGAAAGAAGCAGATTCAAACTGGTTTCAAACATTTCATAATATGGGCTTGCGTAAGAACTCCATTTGAGTTTTACCAGGTTCAAGTCAATGGTGATGAAAAAGTAAAAAGACATGGTTTCCACAAAAAAGGGACATCCTGACTTTTCTAAGCCTTTCTAGGGCTACTTTATGGGGTTACTAGCTATGGGGGCTAGGGCTGCTCAAAAATCTGCAGTGCTGTACATGACCTCCACCTTTCACAAGTAGCCATCAACTTCCTAAGTAAGTAATTCATGAAGGGACTTCACAGAGCTGCCCACTTTCACAAAATCCTGAAACTGGAATTCTAGATGGAGGAGAATACAAGAGTGCATACAGCTGGAGGACATCCTCCCTCAGAGCTGCTTCCCGTAATAACCGACTCAGCTCCACCACTTCTACATTCAGGAATGTATTCTGCATCTAATAAAAATTAACACACAAATCATTAGACCCAAGTCCAACTCTGTCCATCAATTGAAAGAGTGAGGGGAAAACCTTGAAGGCCCTGAGGATTTCTTTTAGTCGATGTACTTCAAGGAGATCATATTCTGTCTGGGTCCCTTCCTCAAAGAGGGGTTTTTCTATCACAGGCACTTCCGGTGCTTGACGGAAATGCAGGGAGGACGTGGACTGCTGGTCATGGAGATCATTCGTCAGGGACACAATCGCTTCATCTTTCACCTTTTAAGAAACATTCCACCACTTTTATGAACTGAGGTCACTGAAAGCACATCGTGAGAAAGTATCAGTGAGTTGAAGCAATTTGACCAACATTTAATAGAACTTCAGAATAAGTTCATAGCAAAGGGAATGGGTAACAAATCACTTTCACATATAGTATTATAAGTATTACATTAGAAACAACCAAGGAAAACTGCAAACCAGATATGTGAATAGATTTCCATGCAGACTATGAGAAATATGATGATAATCTTGAGAAATTATGCAGATACAATTTAAGTATAGAATAAAGAAACGTTTAAGATGGTCTGAGCCCAATACATCAGGTGACTCATGAGCTCAAAATCCAGAGAGATCTCCTGTGTGAGTTCAAGAGTGCAATAACTCTGTTGTCTACCAATTACTTTGATATCTGGACTGCCCAAATTTGTGTACTGGTACCCAATAGCTTGCATTTAGAAAGGAACATTCCTCACAGATCCTGAGGGCTCAATATTGACCTAAATAAGCACCCAGTCAATATCATTACAAGGCATGTGATATTCAGCAGGAGTGGATTGTCAATGCAGGTAGAGTAGACCACTGTTATATGGAAATACTTCCTTCCCCAGAAAGTCATAAATTATGCTGCTAGGCTATCAAGGACTTTTTAGTCAGCTGAGAGTCACACTAGGTATCTGTGACTTCTGATATTTAATGTTAATGTGTTTTGCCCCAAAATATGAAGCAAGAACTCCAAAGAGGAATTCTCAGGAAGGAACATAATGTGACCACATATAATTAAAGAATATTCTACCACCCCCTCCCCCATGCAAGGGGGAGGAGGGCATATCCGAGAAATTCAATTCAACAGATCTTTCTCAAACAACTGTTTGTAGAATATCAGTTTTTAACTGAGGAGACTCATTTTGCAGAAAATCATTTCCAAGACAAGATCAATTAACACAGATCAAGCTGAAGGTTCTTCATATCCAACAGCTTCTGAACAACATACTCAGTTAAGTGCCTAGAGCATAGCAGTTGTGCCTCCAGTATTCAAACGTGTGACTTCCTGGTTTTAGCAGCATTAATTTAAGGTAGGTGGCTAAGTAATCAATGGAAACAGAAAGGAGGGTCCATTGACATTGCATTAATAGGAAGTAGTTTATGGTTGCTACTGTGGATATAAAGAATTTGATATAACAGCTGAATTGCACACATGCCAACAAGGAAGAAATTGAGGACCATCAGAAGGACTACTCTCTAAAATTGTATGGAGGTACTAGTTTTTACTTTGCAAAATGGTCCCACTTTACCAGTCAGTCATTCTGCAAATGGCTCTTGTTTGTGAAGCTTTTTTTTGCAGAACACCTCCAACACCCTCCCCCCCCACCCTGGGTATGCAGAGTAGGTTCATGGAACCTCAGAGAACCATCCCTATTCAAGTTGAAGTTCTTAGGCACCCATTGCACATACTTGCAGGACTCTGGCATCCAAGCATTGAATGATTCCCTTTCATTGAAATTACAGAGGGCTTACTTGAATTTTGACTGATTTCTATATTGAAGCAGAGGTAGAAAAAACATGAAAACCCATCCAAAATATTTAATCTTGCTTTATGACCTTCATTGGCTATGATGAACCAATGACCTTAGACTATATAACCTATGACTTCAATAATTAATCTATGCTGTTGGTCATAAGAAACGAGTATCTGGTCAGCTTTGCAATAATGTTGCACAAGATTTATTTTAAAATGTTCAACTTATGGTCATTTGATAAAACCTTGAGCATCAGCAATCAAGAGGCAACTTCCACACTGGAGCCATACTAGAATGTATTGATGAATTGGGAATGAAGGAAAAAAAATAATGCATGAGCAAGAAAAATAATGGGAAGAGAGAGAGAGAGAGAGAGAGAGAGATACCTTAAGGATCTCCTCATACAGTTCGAGTTGGGATCGCATCTTGTGGATCTGGGACACCTGGCTTTCCAGGTCCTTCATGCGACAATCATTCTCCAACAGCTGCTCATCCTTCTCCCTGAGGATTGCTACTATGTGTGCTTCTGTCAAGTCCGACCTCAGCAACTGAATCCTGTCATGCCAAAAAATAGCAATGAAAATGAAGCCCTGCTAAATAAAAAACAATTTAAATCCTTGTCAAGATGGAATTAAAGGAGTGCTGCCATGAAAATACAAGCTGAACTTTCCCTAACTTCTAATGTGAAATGGTGTCATATACATTCAGCTCAATCTTGCTTGGTTACAGGAACATAAGGGGGACATGCATAAAGAGGGATTCAACTTGAACTAGTCTAGTTTTGAAATGAGCTCCTATGGATTTCAGAGATAACCTCATTCCCAAAGACATATACACCTTGGATATCTAAAAGACATTACAAAGTGGAAGCCATAAAAAAAAAACTTTCAAGAAAGTGCTAGCTTTCCTCTGCTGTTTTCCCACAACCTTCTTTTACAATATCATGCAACCAAGCTTTGGATTTGGATGCAAGCTGAACAATTTTCCTTTTTTACTCTCCTCTCATGAATTAGACATTAGTAAAATAGTTGATTTTTAGATAAATTATACAGTGCAACCTGAACATTGCATGTAACACTCAGTAAATATGCCAAAAATACCTGCAATCTTACAAATCCAAGATTTTACTGCATCATGAAACCAGAACAGTTTCAGATTAAAGAGATCCCCTGAACAGCACTCATGGACCAAATTGGTTTTAGGAGCTGATTCTGGGCAAACAATACTGGAATGGAACTGGCAGCTCTGATCAGTCATGTCACCCCAACCCAGGCTGAGTACAGTACATGCACAATTAGTTCAAGATCCAGGCAGACTACCAGTTGCTGGGCATTTACTGCAGTGCAAAAATGTAAAAATTCAATATTTGTGATAAAATTATGGTTTTTATATAAACTTTGCTAAACATGATATTGGGTTGGAAAGAAAGTCTTGCAACACTTTCTAAAACTATTTATAAAAATTTGCAAAGGAATGATGGGCGGGGTTTTGCATTTGTATATGCTGGAATGTTCTCAAAGCTTCTGCCCTCGGGGTATATAAGGCGGCTTCTACCATCAGTTGGCAGCCATGGCTCCGATCGAACGAGCAACTCGTCGCCCCATCGTCTACTACGAGTTCCTCCAAGGACACTCTGCGAGAGCAGCTGCAGACAACATCTGCGCTGCATTCAAGGGCAACGTCGTCCACTATTCCACGGTGTCTCAATGGTTCAAACACTTTGAATCTAGGACGTCCATCTACAGTCGATGACGAAGCCCTGCGGAACGCCCTCAACGGGAAGCCGAACTCCACCACTCGCGAATCGGCGACTACACTTGGAGTCACCCATATGGCCATCGACAACCATCTGAACGACCGCTGCTATCGGAAGGTTTGCTCGACATGGGTCCCTCATCAGCTCAGCGACTCTGACAAAGAAAGGCGTGTCAGTGTCTGCGAATCACTGCTCCTTCTTCCGCACAGAAAGGACCTTCTAAAGTAAATCGTTATTGAAGATTAGAGCTGGGTCCTCTATATCAACCACACTCGCAAGAGTCAGTGGCTTCCACGAGGAGAATTGCCGCCACATGAACCAGGGTTGCACCGGATTCAGAAGGAATGTTGTACTATGAGCTCCTGTCAACCGATACCACCGTGACTGCCGTCGTCTACGCTGCTCGACTTCAGAAGTTGGCTGGCGTCATTCAAAAAGAGCGTCCCAAACGCGACAAAGTTCTCCTTCTGCATGACAACGCTCGTCCACGTGTTGCGAAGATGACTCACCAGACAATTTCGGAACTGGGCTGGGAAGTTTTACCCCATCCAGCATATTCTCCGGACTTGGCCCCTTCCGACTATCACTTGTTCCGGGCCCTCAAAAATCACCAGACAAGGCACAAGACGATCGAGCACGGCTCGAAAATGATGTCAGTCGTTTCTTGGCTTTGCAATCGCCAGAGTTCTGGGCAAAGGGCATCGAGCAGTCACCCGTGCGTTGGGAACATGTCATAGACAACGATGGTCATTACACTGTAGACTGAAATTGCATTTCAATAAAGTTATAAAATTGTGAAAAATTTGTGCAGTGTTGCAAGACTTTCTTTTCAACCCAATATTAGCCTGTAATTTGCTCATATATTAAATCAGTCCAACTTGTACTAAAGACTATGCTCCTTTGCATTTAGTAGAATAAAACCAACAGCACACCATGAAATGGACTGGCTCCATTTTGGGAAAGGGGCTCCAGCCCATCAAAAGACAAATTGAAAGAGTGCCTCACAGAGTTTCTTTTTCCCGAGTCAGATTATCAACTTGTTGGCGGAGGATTTCAATCACCTGCTCAGATGCATTTGCACCATCTTTCAGTGCCTCCATATCCAACTGTATGTTGGCTATCTGCTTCCTCATCTGTCAGAGAATTACACTGCAAGAATTCTCTGATAGGGATGCCTTGCTATCATACACAAATGCAACAAAACAATATATGCTACAGTTATGCCTACATTTGTGGTTTGAACAACTCTGACATTAAATGTAATAATATTAATTTGAAAGCAGGGAAAATCAAAATTTTCAAGCCCTAGTTTTTCTTCCTCAAATTCCCAAAATAAATAGACAGTCATTCACTGTAAAATGCTTTTCTGATGTAAATTTTTATTTATTTAAAAGAGACGATTCTGGAAGTATGTAAGAACAACTTCCCTGTCACCTTTTCACATTGTGGGCAAGTTTCAGCATTAGGTGAAGGGAGAGATGGTGGTCTGGAATGCTTTGGGAGGCGGAAAGAGCTTTGAAGGAATTTCTTCAAACCCAGAGGGGGTGAGAGATCCAAATGAAAGCGGGCAGGCTCTGATGGAGGTGGAGTCTCAGAATCATCACTTCCATCCCTGCCCAACATCCCCACCATTGGCAACCCTAAAGAGAAATTTGAAAATTATGGAAAAACAGCTTCCACACAATTGGGAAGCTACCAATAACAACCACTTAACCCTTTTGTGCATGAATTTTTAAGGCAAAATAAAAATATGTCCTTTATGGTTTAACGTTTTAGGAGGTGCTCTGCTGTAGTAGTCGAATGTTCTACTGCCAGAAAGAGACACTCAAGAGATTATGTGCCCTTGAGTTGACTGCATGCACCAAAAGTTTCGAGGTATGAGTACCATAGCTGAAAACTTAGAATTATCGCCAAAAATTTTGCCGTCCACTACAGTGGACACCATGCATGAAAGGGTTAAAGAGGTATTTCTTTCCCCTCCCCCTTCCCAGGTGGTTTCAATATGTTTTTTCTCTGATACCTTCTCCAGTGGAATGAGGAGTAACACCTAAGGAACCCAATCTTGTAAGCCTTCTACTTTGTAATATGGGGAAGGTGAACAAGATTTAACCCCTTCACTGGTAGGTTTTCAGACATGTCACTACCAGCAAACCACTTACTGTACTTTGCAAAGAGCCATCTATGGAGAGTCAAAGAACTACTTACTAGCTACAATTAGCAAGAAATTCTCAGGATTGCTTAAATCTGTGAAAACTGCCAGAATGAGAATTTCTCAGGGATGCCAGTTAAGTTAAAAGGCTCCATTTCAATGGAATCAATTAGGATGAAATAACATTTCCCTGAACATCTTTTGCCCACCATAGATTGCTCTAGCTGAAATGTGACAAATCAAGGCCTACTCCATCTCATACTCCAGTAGCACATATTGCCAATGCAATGTCTGAAAATTCATGTTCAAGGCACATGGAACAAGATATCAATGTTCATGGTATAGTGCAAATTTTCAAAAGAAACACATCAGTCCTTCAGGCACACAGAAAAAGGGTTAATTGAGAACAGAGTTTCCAGATGCACTGCACCTGATTTCCTATATTGCTTTACCATAAATAGGGGCTCCTTTTATGACTCACCACGATATGCTTTTCTAAAAGAAATGCTATCATCTGAGTTGGGCTGGGTAGCAGTGAAGCTACGAGGCCTTCCTGCAGGCTGTCTTTTGAGTTTATTGGAGTCTGAATCTGGGCTGATCTTGGCCAATGATGTCATGCTTCCAAAGTCCTTTTTGAGGCTACTGAAGGAATCCTGGGAAAGAAATTTCATAAATATATCAATCCTCTGTTGGCAGTGAAGGATCCTCTTAGTTAACATTCCTAAGATAATAAAAAATAAAATAACCTACAAAGATCAGCATGGATCATTGAGCACACAAAAAAAGTCCTAGTCAACAAGAAAAATAAAAGCAAAGGAAATGCAAGAAAAATATAACAAAGTCCTGTTCAAGTTTCAGAAACACTATGATTAATGCAGACCTGTATTGCCAGGCATTGAGATTGCTAAGGAATGCACTATGGGTGAAGAGACCTTGATTACAGGATGATGAAAACTGTCTTATTTTACAACTATGCCCTCCCAAATACAGCATTCACAACAATGCAAGTTATTGCCAATTTTCAGTGGAATGTAGTCAGCCAGCCATCATATAGCTCTGACAGAGCCCTCTCACAGTAACAGTTTGCAACTTGTCCATGGAAAACCAGCTATCATATCATACAGGGTGTTAAGAAAGTTGTGTCCCACTGCAATATGCCAATAACCTCAGCAAAAACTAAAAAATCAGGAAATTTTTAAAATACACAATAACAAGGACAGTTAACTGATTTAGAATCACTTAATAGTTTTCAATATAGCCACCCTTGGTGCAAATGACAAGGTTCAGATGACCCATGAAAGCATCGACTGATTTTCGCAAGTCTTCCTGTGGAATTCTTTCCCCATTCTCTGTTCAGGGATAGCTTGAGAGAATCCAAAGAATGGCGTTTTGTAGCTTATTTTTTGCTCTCCAAGATGGACCATATTGAAAAATCTAAATCTGATTTTTTTCAAGCCACTCAGCATCAAGGGGCAGCTTCTGTAATGGTCTGGGCCAGGATTACCGCACTCCGCTCGTTTTCGTGCCTGAGAAGATGAAGGTCAACGCTGATATTTACCGGAAAAGCATCCTGGAAGACTGCCTGGTTCTGTGAGCCACAAAATATTTCGATGGAGGACTCCAGCAGGACTCAGGGCCAGCTCACAAGGCACGGATGACCCAGGAGTGACTGTGGACGAATGTCCCCGACTTCATTTCAATTTCACAATGGCCCCCTTACTACCCCAATGTGAACACCCTAAATTTTCTAATTTGGTCCATCTGGAGAGCAAAGTGTGTGCTACAAAGCACTGTTCTTTGGATTCTCTCAAGCTATCCCTGAACCAAGAATCAGAGCGAATTCCACAGGAAGTCTGACGAAAATCAGTCAATGCTTTCATGGGTGGTCTGAACCTTGTCATCCGTGCCAAGGGCGGCTATATTTAAAACTATTAAGTGATTCTAAATCAGTTAACTGTCCTTGTTATTGTGTATTTTAAAAATTTCCTGATTTTTTAATTTTTGCTGAGGTTATTGGCATATTGCAGTGGGACACAACTTTCTTAACACCCTGTATGATATGATAGCTGGTTTTCCATGGACAAGTTGCAAACTGTTACTGTGAGAGGGCTCTGTCAGAGCTATATGATGGCTGGCTGACTACATTCCACTGAAAATTGGCAATAACTTGCATTGTTGTGAATGCTGTATTTGGGAGGGCATAGTTGTAAAATAAGACAGTTTTCATCATCCTGTAATCAAGGTCTCTTCACCCATAGTGCATTCCTTAGCAATCTCAATGCCTGGCAATACAGGTCTGCATTAATCATAGTGTTTCTGAAACTTGAACAGGACTTTGTTATATTTTTCTTGCATTTCCTTTGCTTTTATTTTTCTTGTTGACTAGGACTTTTTTTGTGTGCTCAATGATCCATGCTGATCTTTGTAGGTTATTTTATTTTTTATTATCTTAGGAATGTTAACTAAGAGGATCCTTCACTGCCAACAGAGGATTGATATATTTATGAAATTTCTTTCCCAGGATTCCTTCAGTAGCCTCAAAAAGGACTTTGGAAGCATGA